TTTTTTTTTTTTTTTTTTGAAATAACTGCAAGGGTGACGGGTGCGCAGTTCCGAATTCGTATGAATAACAGAAGTAACAGGGCACTGCGGTTCTGGGCCAAGGGGGCCAAGGAGGGGGGGGGGAGGAGGAACACATCTTTTGTGGGTGCTAGCTGTGCTGATAAGAGCAATCACCGCTAATACCCCAAGGGAGACTGCATTTATTGGTGGGGAGTATCACTTGGTGGAAAGTGGGTCCAGCATCCCATATACAACAGCGTACTGACGATGTCTGAGAAAGGGATGGGATCTGCGAGCATTGATTGCGTCCCACAAGCTGTTTCGTCATTCATCACTCCAGCATGATGGACACACGAACGATAACAGAAGAGATTCCTCCTTCTCCACTAGACACATCTCCGCCATAGTCCCTGAAGAACATACTCAACCTAAACAGGATGCTTTTGCAGGTGGCACCGCCCTTTGGAGTGAAGAGCTGAGGTCTTCCATAGCCACAGGCGATTCTCGAGTTCACTTCCCCTCGTCTTCCTGCTCGCAGTGGAGTGAGGAGATGAGGTCTGCCATAGAATACCCCCCATCCTCCCTCTCCTCCGTGCTCCTCACTTGCTACCTGCTACTCGCCTACAAGGTGGCCAGCATTACCATCACAGAACTGAATGAACAAACAGCCTGAGTCGAAAACAACAACAACAACAACAACAACAACAACAACAACAACAACAACAACAACAACTACACCCACAACAGCCACAACAACAACGACAACAACCACCAAACAAACGACAAATACACAGTCAGTCCAATACCTGGCTAAGCTTGGTCATTAATGCCATTACTTCAAGCAGTTTGGCATGCATGGTAGTCCTGTGCTCTCATAACGCCTCCTGAGTCTACTAGGCCAATCCGACATCACGGTCTGCACGACTTGCCGAAGAACGCCTACCTAACTAGCAACAACTTGCCCAAGTTCTGCTCCTGCTGTCCAGCCTTCTTCTTGATAAATTCTCAGTTGTCTGAGCTTGTCTCGCTATTTTCCCATGACTGACAGCAGCCCTTTCTGATAGACAGATCAACCAGGGCTACATTAGTACACCACCGGCCCCATAGACCCACAACTGCAGCGATTTACAAAGAAAGAGAGACATGAATACCAAGCAAAACGTAGTAAAGGAGATCTCCAAAAGAACTCAGGAAAAAGGCATCGCAGCAGGTAACTCCGAATAGAGGTCAGCATTTTCTCGGAAAACTCAAGAAACACGGTTCTGGAAGTGTAGAAGGTGGATTGGTGGGTCACGGTATACCCACCCCTATACCCACCTATACCCACTTATACCCACCTATAACCACCTGTATACACACCTAGCTGGATATACTCAACCCCTATACCCACCTATACCAACCTATACCCACATATAACCACCTGTATACCCACCTAGCTGGATATACTCAACCCCTATAACCACCTATTCCCACCTATACCCACCTATAACCACCTATAACCACTTGTATACCCCACCTAGCTGGATATACTCAACCCCTATACCAAACTATACCCACCGAGGTGGGTATGCCCACCCCTACACCCACCCTTGTACCCATCTATTCCCACTTATAAACACCTATACCCATCTCGTCCAGAACTCAGGAAAAGGGCATATGAGCAGGAACTCGGATAAAAGGTCAGCATTTTCTCAGAAAATTCAAGAACCAGGGCTCTCAGACTTTCATTTGTCGTTGCGAATGGAAGATGCGCTCAAGCCAAAGAGGGCATGTTATGGACCTAGAGCCTACTAAGCAGAACGGCCGGTCGTAATTCGAGTCAAATACGTTGGTTTGGGGGTGGTGGCTGATTGGGTGCCCGAGAGAGGGGGTAGCACAAACAGCCCAACGATTGTGCAAAGAAACTGCACAACTCAATGTCTCTATGTTGGAGCATAGCTGATCACAGGATTCACAGCAGGGAGTCAGGTTTCCAGATATAGCTGATAACAGAAGGTAAACTTACGCGCGCTATCGTCTTCACCCGAATAGAACGCCCGGCCATTATAGCCGTATCTGGACTCGAAATTTTACCAGATACGGCTATAATGACCGGGCATTCTATTCGGGTGAAGACGGTAGTCTGAGAGGATGAACTTCAGACTTCCGAAGCCGATTTTGGACACTCGATGATTTCCATGGCACAGAACCGTGGGTCGAACCCAGGTCCCCCCCCTCGTACAATACAAGGCCCAGAGAGACGACACACACCGTGACAGATGCCTGAAAGAATAGCCCCCGCAGTAAATGTGAAGATGCAGGGAGCGAGAGGTGTTTCATGAGAGAAACATGTCATACATTGCAGCCGTGGTCTAAACAATCGAAGGATGACAGCTGACACCTACTACGCAGGCAGGGAGAATGAAAACAGGTCAGGCTTGAGCATGTACATGATGGAGAACAGCCTCACACGTTCAGGACTTGTCATACTCAATGCTGACTTTCCGACTGGGTCATGGTTTAGCACCGATGTGGACACAGAATGAGCAGTGAACTTGCAGATTGTGATGGTGTGATGGTTAACTCCTCTCCACGGAAAATGTGGCCGAGTAGCAGAAAGTGTACTAGCTCTAAGAGCCATGCTAACTACCAGTAAGCACAGCTGCCGGTTCTCCATGGTGCCTGCTGCCAAGCCTGCAACTGCTGCAGAGCTTCACCGGTACCCGTTTCCACTGACTCCCTGTGGTTCGGAATTGGCTTAGAAGACGATGAGTGCATACGAATACAACCGGCCACAAATTCGCCGCTACCGTCTTCCCCCGAACATAACGCACCCTGAAAATGAACGTATACAAGGTATGTTTCCGGCCCGATACAGGCAAAATGGGGGTGCGTTGTGTTCGGGGGAAGACGGTAGTAACCGTGACATTTTTGGTTTAAATCCTATCAAGCCTATGTAGATTCTGCTTGGTGTATAGATTAGTTGGTTGAGCATCGGGCTTTTAACCTAATGGTCGCAGGTTCAAATCCCGTTACAAAGACTCAATGTAGTTGCGCGTGCGAATGCACGTGCACTCGTCCGAGGTCCTTAATGCTGGTTGAGCATCGGTCTATTCAGAAGGGAGGATTGGATAAGATGTCGACTTCGAGGACCTTGATGCTGTTCGAAGTGGGCAGGCAACAGAGACAACACAGGGAAGTTGCGTGCTGGTGTAAGACAAGCTAGCTAATCAACATGCAAGGATGTTGATGGCATGTTTTTTGCGGAGGTGAAGCTCAATGCTTCAGGGGATGGTGGATTTTATTCCTTTTAGCTGGCTCTAGTATTATAGCTCAAAGAACCTTTCCTAAAAAAAAAAAAGAACCTTTCCAGCTTGGATAACTCTTCTCGGGTCAATTGTGCACTGCCTGCACACGACTCGTCAATAGTGCGAGCATGCAAAAAGATAGTGCAGCCACGAAGCGAGGCAGCAAAAGGGCAAGCGCAAAGGCAGCCAACCAGCAGGGCAGCACCCACAAGACGAGCAGAATGGCTGCAGGCAGCAGCGAAGAAGACAGTCCACTCATGCAGTACAGACCAAGGCAGGATATCACCAACTAGCAGACTGTACGTTACTGTACACGCGAAGTCAGGGAATCACTTTGACGAATGTCAGCCACCACCCAGGGAACACAGACAGGCATCCGAAACACACACAGCAGCCCACCTTATACTGTTTAAGGCACTACAAACAGACAAACAGGGACTGAATATTTCGCACATATTAGAGGGTTTTCCTTCGAAACAGGAGAAGCAAAGAAAAAGACTAGGACACACACGAGGTGGACGGCAAAAGGAAAATACTTAATATCAGAAGACAACAAAAGAAAAGTTCTAGGTAAACACAATTATATGTGTGTGTGTCTGTCAGCATGCCAGCATGCACCTCCACGTATGAGGGCATATGTAAGAGAGAGAGAGAGAGAGAGAGAGAGAGAGAGAGAGAGAGAGAGAGAGAGAGAGAGAGAGAGAGAGAGAGAGAGAGAGAGAG